CAAATTTTCTGTCCCTTTGAATCTCTGCTACAATTCCTGTTTAATGGGGGAAATTTAATTAATTCACAGCTATTACTGATATGATGTTTGGATCTAGCCCTTGACCTTATTTTCTATTTTCTAAGTTACCATCCTTGCTTGTTCCCTCCCCCACCTGACCCGTTCCTGCCTTTTTTTTGATTGACCAACCATTTCCGTCACCAATGGTTTTGAAGTTACACATTCTAGTTTTAGTTTTCTAAGAATTATCCGTACATTTTAAGCATATATAAACATGTTTCTATAAATATCTAGAGTTCACGGTGCTTATCTCATTCCCTCGGCCAGACATGAACTTTTGCGTGGTTTTCTCTCCTCTATCCTGACTTCTCCCTGACTCCCAACCAAACACCCGATGCTCCCCAGAGCGTCTTCCTGCCGCTCACGTCTCACCTCTCCAGGCCACTTCCAACTTCTCTGTGTGTTTTGGGCTGTAGCTTCTTCTCTTAATTCCATCCTGTCTGCCTCCCATCTGCCAGGAGCGCCTCCTCAGCATTTCTCTTCAACCAAGGTGTTAGGACTGAGTTTTTGTGTCCCCTCAAAACTCAGGTTGAGATCCTAACCCCCAGTGGATGGCATTAGGAGGCGGGGCCTTTGGGAGGTGATTAGGTCATGAGAGAGGAGCCCCAGGAATGGGGTTAGTGCCCTTCTAACAGACCTCAGGGAGCTCCCTCGCTCTTTCGCCCCTCTGAGGACACAATGAAAAGCGTGCTGTCTGTTCACTGGGAAGTGAGTCCTCACCAGACACTGGATCTGCCGGTGCTTTGATCTTGGACTTCCCAGCCTCCAGAACTGTGAGAAGTAAATTTCTGTGTTTAAGTTGCCCAGTTTATGGTACCTTTTCTATAGCAGCCCAAACTGACTAAGACACAGGACTCCATCTTTTACCAGCTTACCAGATTTTTAAATAAATCTCGTCAGTTACTTCATATACCCAGGCCACCGCCTTGATCAACTCTCTCTCTGTCGTGTGTGCAAGAGCTCTCTCATTTGCTTAACGAGAGTGTCCCTCCCTTGAGTTCAGGACTGCCATGCTACCTTGAACACAGTCGGTCTCCGCTTTGTTGATGACTCACTGGAGACAAAGACTATTCCAAGGGCTTCACTGCTCAGGAAGCACTCCTGGACGTCCCTGGATGATGACTTGGTGAGGAGCATGTTGTGTTCGTCTCGTTGGCTTTCCTGTGGATTATACACGTTAGATCCCCAGACAGGATAGAAAGTAGCTTTAAAGATAAGCGTGGAGTCCATCGCCAGGTGGCAGTGTTGGCCAGCTTTAAAATTTCTCAAACTCAGTGATGTAAGAAATTCAGGGGGGCCAGCCCCATGGTGTAGTGCTTAAGCCCGGCGCACTTTGCCTCAGCGGCCCAGGTCTGCAGGTTCGGATCCCGGGCGCAGACTTACACCTCTCATCAAGCCATGGTGTGGGAGTGACCCACATGCATAATAGAGGAAGACTGGCACAGATGTTAATCCACGGCTGCTAATCTCAGAAACTCGTGGACATAATAGAGGAAGACTGGCACAGGGTGAATCTTCCTCACCAAAAAAAATAAATAAATAAATAAATGAAAGAAAAGAAATCCAATTGATGATACTAGATTCCTTTTGTTTCCTATAACTCATCTTTCCATTCAATCAATCAATCAGTATTTATTGAGCTCCTGCTCAATCAATATATATTCTCTTGGATCCCCAGGGTGTACTCTTTGTCCCTGTTTAATCTCTTTTTAAGACTCACGGGGACTGGCCCCAGAGGGAGCAATGTCCCCAGAGGCGGTCAGCATGTTTGCTGGCTGACCCCTGTGCTGCCATGTTTTTTGCCTCAACGCCTTGCCCGGATCATAAACCCTCACACTTGGGTTGATTGCGCTGAGAGGCTGGGGAAGCCCAAGGGCTCCTGAGGTCACAGGCAAAGGCAGCAGCAGCAGTTTCAGCTGCCTTTGCCGCCTCGGGGCAGGAAGAGGGCACTGACAGCTCAGACCTGCTCACAGGCTGCTCCCTGGTTCTCGCCCTCCCCTTATAGCCTCTCAGGGAAGAGGCAGGCAGCCCTGGCGATCACAGCCAACAAACGTGGCAAGACAGCCCCTGGGCCGAGACCTCGCAGGGAACGCCACCGCTGCATTGGGACCTTTGGCTCAGACTGAGTGGACTGTACAGGCTCCTGCTGCTGATGAACCCACAGGACAGACCATGAGGACAAGTGGCCACTGGGCTTTCTGGCACACGTGGGAAAGCCACTTGCTGTTGAGGATGACTCAGTCGTGGTCTGGGAGTTTGCGTCTCTGAGCAGTGCTGAACTTGGCTGTCCCCCCCCCTTTACCGTCTGGAGTATAAGCATCCTCCTCCTGCTGTCACCTCCCCACTCTGAGTTGTCATTCGAACTCAAAGGAAACTCCAAGAACCAGCTGAGATCACTGTTACTAGCTGCCCACTGCTCAATTTGTTATTTTATGTGAGTCAAAACCAAACCTTCCCAGCCAGAAATGGCTGCTAATCTCAGAAACTCCTGGACTAGAAATGCACCAGAACATCGATCCCTGGTTGCATGGAAGTCCGGGATGAAGTTGGTTGTAGTAAGGCCAGCTTTAAAAGAAAACCGCAAAGGTGTCCCTGACTCCACCACTCAGCTGCGAGCTCAGGTAGATACACGCCTCTGCTGGAGCCCGAAAGTAGTGTGAGAAACAGTGCTGCCTGGAGGAGGGGCAGTGCCCATCGGGCTGAGGGTAGGGGTGGAGGGCATTCTACTGAGATGGACACCAAAGAAAGACAAGGAATGGGAAGAGGCGGGACCTGAGATCTCCAAAGCTGAGGTGCAACAGTCCTTAAATACATCTGTGGAGTCCCCCAGACATCTAGGGAGGCCCCTGCACATCCGGGAGTCACATTCAGGGAGTCCCTCCAACATCCAGGGAGTCCTCCCACATCAAGGAGGCCCTACACGTCAGAGAGTCCCTCACACGTCAGGGAGGCCCCCACACGCCAGGGACTCCCTCACATGTCAGGGAGGCTCCCACACACCAGGGACTCCCTCACACGTCAGGGAGGCCCTCACACGTCAGGGAGGCCCCCACACGTCAGGGAGTCCCCCACACGTCAGGGAGGCCCCCACACGTCAGGGAGGCCTCCACACGTCAGGGACTCCCTCACACGTCAGGGAGGCCTCCACAAATCTGGGAAGCCCTCGCACGTCAGGGAGTCCCCCACATGTCAGGGAGGCCCCCACACATCTAGGGACTCCCCCACATGCCAGGGACTCCCTCACACGTCAGGGAGGCTCCCACACACCAGGGACTCCCTCACACGTCAGGGAGGCCCTCACCTGTCAGGGAGTCCTCCACCCGTCAGGGAGGCCCCCACCCGTCAGGGAGGCCCCCACACATCTAGGGACTCCCCCACACGCCAGGGACTCCCTCACACGTCAGGGAGGCCCCCACACGTCAGGGAGGCCCCCACACATCTAGGGACTCCCCCACATGCCAGGGAGGCCCTCACACGTCAGGGAGGCCCCCACACGTCAGGGAGGCCCCAACACATCTGGGAGGCCCCCACCCGTCAGGGAGGCCCCCACCCATCAGGGAGGCCCCCACTCGTCAGGGAGGCCCTCACACATCTAGGGAGGCCCCTACACTGGCAGAAGCTGTGATTTTATGGAAACAGAAGAAACTCTGGGTACTAAGTCTGGCATATCCTTATTGGGATGAATGTACCACTTGTAGTTTTAGAACTAAAGGATCCAGAATTTGGCTCCCATTTGTTCACTTTGCAGATGAGAAAACCAAGGCCTAGAGACGTGCGGAGACTTGCCACATGGTGGGGTGGGCTGGTCCAAGGCTCTAGTCCAAGTCTCTTGGCTCCCTACCCAGTGCTCTCTGTCCACTAGGGTTCCTTGGGGGCTGACAAAGGAAGAAGCGAGGGTTTGATCCACAGTGACGGCAGCTATGGCTCAAAGTGCTTCCAGCTCGGCCCTCGGAGGGCCCCTCATGTGTCTGTGTAATCTTCACCAGTAATGCCAGCCTGGCCTTGAGCAGGGGCAGACTGTGCTGTTGCCCCAGCAAGGGTGTCCCCTCAGGAGAGGCAGCTTGGAGCCCGAGGAGACAGGGGCGTAGGCAGGGGTCCTTGCTCTAGCTCCCCTTGGCCCTGTGGCCTTGGGGAAGTTAGGGGACTGGTTCTTCCAGGTATCAATGACTACTAGTCATAGGAGATGGCCATTGTCTTCACCAGTGATGCTCTTGACCACTGTGGGTTGTGCGGGGTCTCACACAGGCCAGTAGTGAAGCCAAAAGTTAAGGTCCTTTGTGGGCTGTGGACGGCTGACCACCCCAGCCTTTCACGCGCAGGGAGGGTTAGAGCGCGTGAAGAGTCTCCAGGGTTTGGTGTTGCTGGAACGTGGTCAGTGTGTTGCTAGAGCTGACCGACAGCAGACTCCACCACAAAGCCTGGCTGCTCCACACTTGGCACTGCCCTCAGGTCGGGGGTCCCCCAGCTCCAGGAGGATGCCCTGTTGCCAACCCAGTGCCGTCTGAAGTCAGCGCTAGTTTTCATCTCCCATCTTCCTGCTCTTTGGTGGTGAACCGTCTGGTCCTGGGGTTGCTGTGCGCTGTTGGGTCCGCCTCGCAGGGTGTGGGGTGGGGCATGCTCCTCCACAGGGATCTGGTGTGCCGCGGTGTGGGGACCATGGAGTCCTGCTGCTGAAGTAGGTGTACTCAAGCCTCCCTGCACGTCATCGTCACCAGTGAGGGCACGGGAACCGCAGGGGAGGATGAGCCTGCCACCCTGTGATGCCACTCTCAGACTCCTGGCCAGTTGGGTCGTCGCCTTCTTCTGACCCGATTCAAGGTTCTGGTTATGGATTTTTTGTTTGCATTTCAGTTATTTGAACTGGCATGTCTTTCTGTACCACTCCCTCCCTCACCCCCAAACAGCGACCTTGAGCTCAGGAGCTGTGTCTGGTTCACCCTTGTCAAGCTGACAGCCCTCAGCACTGGGCCGCGCACATGGGGGGCTCCACAAAGGTCTTTGTGTGTCACTGAAGGGAAGAAGTGGGAGAATGACGGGAACAGGAAGGGCAGAGACGCAGGGACGAGGACACAGAGCGCTCTGTGGGTTCTCGGGGGCAGCCGACTTCACAGTGAATGGATGTGCGACTCAACGCGGGGTCTCGCGGTCTGGAGGCAGCTGGGTCTCCCAGGAGATTGGTTACCAATGAAGACTGTTTCTTAGGAGCATCCAAGTGCCACGAGTCTCCGAGTAACGTGGGTGGTAGGACCTACGAAGGCAACAGCAAAGGACTACACCCCTAAAGCTGTTAAAACTGTAAGCTCTGGAGGCAGGAGGCTAAGGCTCTTCCACTTGCTGGCTGTGTGGCCTTAGGTGGGTGTCTATCCTCTCTGTGCTTGTTTTCCCATGTGAGGTGAGGACCAGAGCATCTATCTCTAAGGATTGTGAGGCTCAGTAATCACAGCTGAATCACTGTCTCCAACTTGAGCATAAGGTAAGTCCCAGGCTCCTACTGGACACCTCCCAGTCCTTCCTACTCCTGCACCTGCCAACTACAGCTTTCAGCTCTGCTCACAGTAAGGCCAGGGGCTTCTTGGGGCGAAAATGTGACCAGCACTGCCTGGATGGCCCGCTGCTCGCTCAGAACTGCCAAGGCCCCATGGGCAGCAGCCCTGTGGACGTGGCTGGGGTGGGGGTGGGTGAGGTGTGGCTCCACCTGTGGCAGTTCCGGGAGATCTGTTTCCAAGACACAGCAGGGATGGCCCTGGCCTCAGGGGCTGTGACACTCAGGAGGGAGGTCCTCAGTAGCCTCTTAGGTAAGTCTCTTGGGCTGCAGGAAGTGCAGTTCTGTACCACCTGGCTGGTTCTGAAATGTTTCATGTACACATAATCAATTCTCTTTATCTAAACTAAAGGAAATGGGAGCTGTGTGCGTCTCGGTTTTAAAGTACAATGTACTGTGTGCTTTTTTCATTGTTCTCGCTGTGGGCTCTCTTCCTCCAGAAGGCTACACCTGCTCCCTTACAGCATGGTGCTGGGTTCCGAGAGAGCAGGGGCTGCAGCCTCGGGCCCGGGCCTGTCAGGGCAGCCCACTGCCACGGTCTACGGTGAAGCAATCCCGTCGGCCCAGATGCAAGGGGGAAGCAGGCCCCTCCTCTTGACAGAGCAGCAAGCTTTCGCACACACACAGGGGTGAGGTCTTGATGGCCATCTTTGGGACGCCCTGCCACAGCTGTGGTCCTTCTCCATGAACAATTTTCCATATTCTACTAAAAATGGGGATTCAGGCCAAGTGGTGAAGCATACATGGAGGCGGGAGTGGGGTACCAGTGCTGCTCTTGCATCAGCCCGCCGCATGCTCTCCAGCCAGTCTACGTGTTTGGGCTCAGTTTTCTCATTTGTTCCACTAGGGGTTGATAATTGGTGAAGTTGATAGCGCTAGATAATTTTTAAACTAAGTAAAAAATGCAGGTCAAGCGCTTGGCACAGAGCAGGGCACATGTCCAGCGCTAGCTATGATCACTGGTTCTCCAGCCTCAAAACCCTCTCTCATCTGGCAGGAAAGAGGCACTCAACACCCACAGTGGCCTGGGGCGATGACTTCTCTGAACGCAGGGTCTCTCCCTCTGCAGATCTTTCAGCTAACGGGAAGGAATCTGTCCCAAACCCAAAGAACTCAACCAACCAGTTTTCCAAACCTCCCCCACGCAACTCCCTTGTTTATCATGTGTTTACCTCTTGGGTGTTGAAATGTTTAAGAATCTGGTGGAGACAGGTTTCCATCTATGCTTCCCGTCTTGATGGCAAAAACCTCCCTCCACTGTTGAGCTTGCCGTGCTCCATCCCAGGCCGGACGGCTCACAGACACCTCTCATTTGTTCTTCACTGTAGTTCCAGGGAGGGAGATACCACTCCCGTTTTCTAGAGAAAGAAAACGAGGCGCAGAGAGGTTAGGAGGCTGCCCAAGGTCACAGAGCTAGTACAGCCAGGGTTTGAGCCCAGGCTACAGATGCTGGAGCAATCGGAGAAAACGTACATGGTTCCAAATCAGCCGAGGTTAGTGTGGCAACTGCTTCTCTGTTACACTTCCCTCCAGGCAGGAGGCGACCCGGCGGGGCTGAGGGCGGCAGCTGGGTGCTAAGAGCACCGGACCCCAGACCACGCTCCAGATCCCCAGAGCCCCCTGGCCCGAGGGCCCCTGATCAGCCCGTTCAGCCCATGGGGGCTGTTTGTGTGTCTGGACCGTGGGCAGGCGGCCCGGCCGAGCGCGGGGTTCACGCTCAAGGGCGCACAGAGGGATGAACGCTTTGACTTCAGTCTCTGAGACGCCGAAGCGACGTAACTTCGGCAGTCCTCGGACCCCCTGTGCGCCTCGCTCCGCCGGCCGCTTACGTCCTGGGCCCGCTCCTTCCCGAATTTCCGACGGATCCCGGATCTCCGCCGGAGCCCGCGGCCCGCGACGCACGTGTCTCTGCTGTTCCTCGCGCCGCGCAGCCGTCGGAACTTGAAGACGCACAAACTGAAACCAAAACAGCCGGACGCCCAGCGTCAGGGCGGGAGCGCCGACAAGGGGGGCGCATAGCAGCCCCGCCAGGCCCGGGGACCCCGCTCCGCCCCGCGCTCCCCCACGCCCCCTCCCTCGGCTGCTGCCCCTCCTCCCTCGCGGTCCCCTTCCCTACGGCGGGAGAAGAAGGGGTGGGGACCGGGGCGGGCTCCGGGAGGCAGCTGCAGAGCGGGAAGGGGCCCCCAGGAGTGGGTGGCGGCCGGAGGGCGGGGACGGGGCGGGGCCCGAGGAGACAGAAGGGGGCCCCTGCTCGCCGCCCGGCCTCGGGGAGCAGAGGGCCTCGGGGCTTCGGGCGAGATGGCGGCGCGCAGCGTGGGCCGCGGCGTCGGGAGGCTGCTGGGCAGCCTGCACGGGCGCTCGGGGCAGCCGGCACGGCCGCTGCGCGGGGGGAGTGTCCCGCGCCGGGCGGCCTCCGGGCTGTGGGACAGCGCCCCTGCCGCCCCAGCCGCGCAGCCCGGCTCCTACCAGGCGCTGAGCGCGCAGGCCGCCCGGGAGCCGGCCGCCTTTTGGGGGCCGCTGGCGCGGGACACGCTCGTGTGGGACACCCCCTACCACACGGTCTGGGACTGCGACTTCAGTAGCGGCAAGATCGGCTGGTTCCTGGGAGGCCAGTTAAACGTGTCTGGTGAGTAGGCTGCGTGGCCCCAGGTGCCCCTGAGGGGACTCACAGAACCCAGCTGGCGGCAGCCACCCCGGGGCAAGCGGGTGGGGGCCCCACCAGAGTCCCCTCCTCCAAGATTCTGCCTCTTGCGCTCTAAACCACGTCACCCTCGCCCGCATCCCGCCGGGTTCCAGAGGCCCCAGCCCCCCGCCCGCTGTAAACCCCCGACCCGACTCCACCTTCCCAGCTCGGGCCGGTGTCAGCTTGGTCACCCAGCTGCTGGCCTTGCCCCAGCTGGCTCCTCGATCGGCCGACTCCTCCATCGATCGGTCGTCTCCGAAGTTTAACTACCGGCTTCCACCGCACCGCGGAGCGCAAGCCTGCGGGCAGCGGCGGGCGACACCTGGGCCAGGCTGAGGCGGAGGGTGCAGCGCCCCCAGGAGTCGGAACTTCCCCACTCCTGTCCCGGGACCGGAGACAAAACCCAAAAGCCTCTATCTGTTGTCTCCGCCAGCTGCCCTGCCGGCGAACCGCCTGGGGAAGAGAATCTGCCCACGTAAACAAATCGAGCTTCTGCCGGGGCCCGAGGGAGGAGAAAACCCCGGGCCAGCAGCGGCACTCAGTTATCTCCTTGCTCCAGGGCCTGTGTGCGGGAAGGAAGGAATGGCGAGGCGTCCCAGTTCTCAGTTTCAGCTGCAGCCCAAAGACCCACGGCTTGCTTTAGACCTGGTGGCCATTGAGGTCCCAGAAACCAGTTCCACTAGCCAGTCAGTCCTCTGGTATCTGCTGAGACTGAATCTACAACGGTTTTGCTAAGATTTGGGATTGGGGGGTGGGGAGAGTACACAGTGTCCCCACCAGCAAGGGGAGAATGCCCAAGAACTGGAGGCAGTGGGGCCAGACAGGATAGGCCTGGAGTTGGGGGGCCTGGGGAGGAGGGAACTTGCAGCCAGGGGTGGTGGTCAGCAGGGCTGTGATGTCAGGGACAACCAGTAACCCTGTAGGTGGGGTCTAGAGGGTGTGTAAGGGCAGGACCTGCAGATTTTCTTGGCAAGGTCATTCCCTGGCCACGCCCTAAACCTGAGGTCAGATCCGCCGGCTCACACAGCTCCACCATTTGCTGGCCCAGGTGTCCTCTCCTCTGAGCCTTGGGCTCCTCCTGTATGGACTGGGGGTAAGAAGCCCACCTGCTGGGCTGGTCGCGAGGATGAGTGCTAGAAGATATGGCACCTGCCCAGCACTTACTAGTGACCAATAAGTAGTAGCAATTTTAATTTATTATATTCAGAAATAGCCATAAAATTATAGGTAGTGTCTTGCAGTTACCTTTCAAACAAAGAAACTTAAGAGAACTTTGGACCGGATTTTTTTTTCATATTGTATATTACTTTGCTGGTTTAATCAAAATGAGTCATTACTAGATAAGGGTTTTCTCTAAAATTGAGTCAGCAGCAGGTGTCCTTGAACTAGTGGGAAAAAAAAACAAACCCTTCGGTTTGCAGAGTTGGTGGAATGTGCCCTTGAAAGAGAGGAGAGCGACTTGCAGCAGGAAGGGGGCAGACGGTGTGCAGCTCCTTTGGAAGCCGCCTGGGACTTAGGACACAGCCTGAGGCTGCTGTGGACGATCACATTGGCTCGCGCCCACTGCAATCTCTCTCCCAGATAAAACAGTGGGGTGGACCTCACGGGCTGGCAGCAAGGACCTTGTGAGCTGTGTGGGGTGTGGTCAGCAAGCAATTCTGCCTCCTTTTCCTTTCACTTATTCTCCTGAGGATGCAGCCTTTATGGCTGCTTTAGCCAGAAACTGAGCTTCAGAAAACTGCCTTGTAGAAAAACAGCTTTTCAGCAGCATTCTCACTCCGGATGTGTATGCCCACCCGCTCACCTGTCAGGAATCTCTCTGCCCTTTCCCAGTGTCTGCACTGATGGCATGAACTACAGAACTGATGGCATGAAGAAGGACCTGGCCAGGTGCTGGCTGTCGTGGGAGCCCCTAGAATGTTGTGGAATGGGTGGGAGTGTTTTGGCCTGATCTGTCTGTGCGTGAGAGTGTGATGATGGCTTGCTCCGAAGGAGCGTCACTCTCGAAACTCCCATTATCCCTTCCGGAAGATCCGTACCAGTGGTTGTCACAGTGTGGTCCCTGGAATGGCAGCATCAGCATCACCTGGGAACTTTTTAGAAGCGCAAGTTCTCAGGCGCTATCCTAGACAGCCAGAACCAGAAACCCTGGGGTAGCCTGCTGCCGGTGTTGAGGACATCTTCCAGGCGCTCTGAGGCACACTTGAGGGGGAGAACCACTGACCTGGATACTCCAACGTAGGCAGATCAAGGCACTTCTAAAATGGGCAGAATTGGGATTAGTGAACTAGAGATGACTCTATGAAACAAACGAAAATGGTATGTGGGTGGTGTGGCACAGTTTAGTGGCTCCAGGTCTGTCTTTAGAGTCACACCTAGGTTTGAATCTTTGCTTTCCCCTTACCATTCCTTGCATGCATTCCCTCATCTGTAAAATAAGGTAATGTGTAACTGAATTCTGTTCTAGTTACTATTGTTGCATATCAAACAGCCCCCAGGCTTAGCGGCATTAAGACGACATCGGTTTTATTACTCACAGATCCTGTGGGTCAGGACTTTGGACAGGGCCT